TCCGACTTTTATGGTGTACGGAGCTGAGAAACACCGAATGAAATTAACGCGCTTATTGCGTCAGTGATGGAACGCTTTACATACAAAATACTTTCTTTATTTGCTCTGCAGCAGTATACGGTTGGTTTCTTATAGGGAGACATGCACTGAAGTGAATCTACAGCGAAGAAACAAAGAAAATTATAGACTGATGATACATTTATTTTTTCATACTTATTTTATAGCATGTGATTATTTGATTCTTGAATCTTATCTATATTTCACTACAAAAGATTTTATATGTAATCATATTAGTAAATATGTAGATAATAAACCATCTCACGTATCATTAGCTGTGAGACTGATCTGACTGAGTCAGGACAATATGAAAAATTAATACCTGAAAAATGTAATACTAATCAGAAATAAAATGTTTGTTATTTATAATGGAAAGTGTAATACTTTTAAGAAAAAATGTAATACTTTTACATTTTGATATAATAAAAAAAAATGTAACACTTTTGAGGCCTTCCGAGCGGACCAAAAGGCCTTATTATCTTATGAATTAATTTCACTTTTGGTCCCACGACTTTTGAGTTCTTATCACTTTTGGTGCACAACTTTGAATTTTTTCAATTTTGGTGCTTAACTTTGTTATTTTTATCAGTTTAGGTCCTTCTAGCCAAATTGACGGTAAAATATTTCCAAATTTTATATTTTAGGGGCAAAATCGTCATCCCATGGAAAGATCTTCAATATTTAAACAAAAGAAAAATCATATTAAGAGGAAAAGAAGAGTTTGCCAATGGTCGAAACTATAAATCCCATATATCTGTCTAGTTTCTGCCCATCTTCCCCATTATTCTCATCATCAAACACCTATAAATATGATTTTACGGTGATCTTGTTTAGATATTGAAGATGTTTCCTTGGGATGAAGATTTTACCCCTAACAATATAAAATCCAACAACATTTCACAGTCAATTTGGCCGAAAGGACCAAAATTGATAAAATAACAAAGTTAGGCACCAAAATTAAAAAATTTTAAAGTTGTGCACCAAAAGTGATAGAACATCAAAAGTCGTGGGACCAAAAGTGAAATTAATTCTTATCTTATTCTGTAACTTTCATTATCCTTTTTCTCAGAGTTTGTGCGATTTGAAAAAAAAAGTGGTGCATTAGTGTCCTTTCTACATCCAACGATTGGGAGAAATCCACATGTCTTCATCTAACAACTTTAAATACATAGCTGGTTTGCGTTGGATCCCCTGCTAATGAAGTGACTTAGGATTCTTCTAAACACAATTTGAGGATCCAGCTAGTAGGTATTTGCTGATAGACTGAGCTGGTCAAATCTACTGATTCGTTGTCTTTAGATATGCTTATTTACTGTAGTTGATGCTTTGTCAACATCCTATTGATATACTAAGTTGATCAGCTTGAACAAACTCAAGCTGAAATACAAATTTTCCCAAGTTTTTTGCTTATACTAAATATACCTAGCCGAATACAAAATTTGAAACGTTTGAGATATCTATAGTCCTAATACAATATTAACATCATCAAAATCTAAGTAGAACGGTTCCAAACAAAAATACCGAAGTCGGGCCCTTCTATATCGTGGTAGGTTTTCGTTTGCCGTTGGTAGTTTTTGACCTGGATCATGGTAGACTCCTGCTTTTCATCTATTAGGTTCAAATCAGTCCAATAGATGCATGTCCTCGTTGGGTAATGCGGCCTTTGCATAGCCCTAAGCCTCAAAACCATATATACACGAGGGAGAACGGGGTCTCGCCGGTTACTCTTCTCAGCGTGCCTATACAAATCATAATAAACAATGTTTAGTGATATTTTTAATGAACCTACAATATTATAATAATGGACGATGGTCTATGATACAAAGGTGGACCATGGTCCATGATATAATTTGTTTACCGGCACATGAGGTGATAAATCAAGTATGAGTACAAAGAGTCCATTCCAAACACACCCCTATTCTGTGCCAAAAGCAAGTCTTAAATGAGACTTTCATCTATTAAACCAATTTCTAGGGGACCAAAATTCTTTCTTTGGTATGTATGGGCAATTTCTTACAAGAGTGACATGCACCAAAGAGAATCTACCTCAAAGAAACAAAGAATATTATAGAGTGATGATACATTTATTTTTAAAATTTGTTTTTTAATACTTATTTCTCCTGTTAAAACAACGATGAAACCATCACACTTCAGCCCTAAGACTTACAATTTAAAAATATTAAACTCTAGTGTGTACAGAAAACAACTCAAAAACATATGCCCATCATTTCTCACTATAAAAAAGTTTTTTTTTAAAAAAAAAAAGTTGAATAAAAAGAAAGATTAATCCACAGAAGCGTTGCGTGTCTGGATAAAAAAGAGAGAATATATGGGGAGCCAATAGCGAAATTACTTGGTCTAGCGTTCTTTACCAGTTACCACCTTTTTCCTTTCGCATAATAAAACAGAAGCGACAAAGCAAAGCACAAAATCCACAAAGCTCTACACTTTTAGAAAGACTGAACAATATAATGAAAGGCATTACGTACAAAATACTTTCTTTGGTATGCACCATATACACTTTCTTTCTTATAGAGTGACATATATACATGCACTGAAGAGAATCTATCGCAAACAAACAAAGAAAATTATAGATCAGTAATAGATACATTTTTTCTGACTCTATTACATTGTAATGTCTACATAGAGTCAACAACACCTCCGAGGCTCGATCTCATTACCTCCCATATGAGAGAGGTGACTACATGTCATCTGAGTACAAAGTGTTTGACAGATACATTTATTGTTAATACTTATTTTATAACGTGTGATTATTTGATTGAATCTTTTTTAAATGAATTCATGTTTAATTTGTATTAAGCTTAATCAATTCATAATAGTTGATAAATCTAAAGACTTTGTGAAAAAGAAAAAAGAAAAAAGAAGTAATTCTCATTATTAATTCACATCCTGTTGGATTACGGTCTATTTGAAAAGTAATATTTTTATTTTCCTTCTTTCTGTGTTAATCAGTTTTTAAATGTTAAACAATGCCATTTTAGGTTTTTGAAAATTATACTCCCCTTTCTGATATTTGTAATATTTAATTTATTCTTAGTGAGTAAAATGGAATAAAAAACCAGTGATATGCCTATTGTAATTGGCTACGGTTGGAAATTTGTCCGTTGCAATTGAGAGTTGATAAATACATGCCTTAGTCACCAAGTGGCTTCTAGTCCATTGGTATCCGATTGGCCCCTTATGTGGGATGTCTTAGGTTTGAGCCTTGGTGAAGGCGTACATAGTATATGTGGGTGTCCCCCTTCCTTTGTAAAAAAAAAAAAAATACATGCCTTAGTCAATTTGTTGCAATTAGGTAGGTAATATGCTCACGGGACGGTTAAATTTATAATTTTTAAAAATTTTGACAATTTTAAATTAAAATAACTATAAAAAAAGTAATTGTTTTTAAATTTAAAATTGTAAAATAAAAATAAAAATCTTAAATTTTAATCGCCATGTCAACTTATTAGTTTTTGAACCAATTTTCGTGGTTGTATTTACGGATAAATTGAAATAGAGTCAGACGGGACTACATCCCAGTACATAGACGTATTATGATTAAAAGCAGTAGATGCTAAAGTATGAGCTAAATGATTCTGTGATCTAGAAATAAAATTAACTGAGCAATAATCAAGCATAGTCATGTAATCTCTGCAACCATCAATAGCATAGCCAACATAGGATCGAGTCTGGGTGTTAGATGAAGATATAATAAGTAGCCCTGAAGTATTTGGCAGTCAGTGTATAGCTCAATTGACCGTTACGTTCCCCACGAGCTCTTAGCCATGACAAAGCTTCTTTGCACGCAAGAACCTCGGCCATAAGTGGAGAGAAACAGCTCTGGAGGGGCGCACTGTAGGCCAATACGTATCCACCATTGTCGTCGAATAAGATTGCTCCAACTGTGGCCGTCATCAGCACCAGACAGTACCCCGCGTCGACGTAGCAACGTCTTGGTCGTACTGTTGTGGCTGTGTGGGCAATGGCGCAGGTGTGTGTGCAGTGGCTGTTGTGGTACATCGGCAATATCGGTGTTGCTGGACGGCACACGGTCAGTCGACCGATGCACTTGTTGCCACGCTTGCATGGAAGCTATAGCTGCGGCAATCACCTTCTTCAGCATTGGTAGGCATGCGTCCCAAACCGCCCCGTTCCGTGCTCTCCAAATATTGTATAAAATTGCAGCTGCATATAATATTCCATTAGTGTCTAGAACATCCAAGATTGCTCTAAATCATACATGGAAAACATTTCACAATGTGGGGGAAGTGGAAGGTTAGATTGAATCCATATGGAATTTGCATAACCACACGATACTAGTGAGTGCATAGTGTGCTCATGAATGATTCCACACATGGCACACATCGGATTACATCCACCCTCTTTATAAGCAACTTGTTGGTAGTATGGAGGGTATCACTTATATCTCTTCATAAAAATGTCAACTTATTAGTTGGGGGTTGAGTATCCTTTATTATTATTATTATTAATTATTATTATTACTATTAAGTTTTGTTAAACTCACAATTGATTACGCATCGAAGAACTTTGCGAACAAGTTCAAGCTCCTCTTCACGATTTCGAGTGCATGAGAACTCCACATTTTATTAATAAAATCAAAAGAACAATGATCAAAAGTCCGGATAACAAAATAAGGAACAACTTCACCACCTTATATATGCAAATATAAGGACATATGAATTGGAGAAAGAAAATAATTCTTACCATACAAAGTATATTATTGAACCAAAATTATGAAAGTAAATAAAAATAAATATTGAGGCATAAACCAAAATAATAACCTTTCTTTGTAAGAGCGTGGCTATAAAAGCTCAAAAAATAAATATTGAGGCATAAACCAAAATAATAACCTTTCTTTGTAAGAGCGTGGCTATAAAAGCTCAAAAGGCAGCGCTCAACCTAACATCTTACATACCAAGAATTCAAGAAATTATTCAACTTAGTTTCAGAGAGATCAAATTAAGCAGACATGGGTGAAGAATCTTCTTCTTCGCAGGTATTAATCTGCAGAGAAGAAGCCGCCATTGATGCCCCGATTATCTCATCCTACAATGACCGCATCAGGCCACTTCTCGACTGTGTAGACAATCTCCGGCGCCTCAAGATCATGCAGGAAGGCATCCAGCTTCCGACCATCGTGGTGGTCGGCGACCAGTCCTCCGGCAAGTCCAGCGTCCTAGAGTCCCTCGCCGGAATCAGCCTTCCGAGAGGCCAGGGGATTTGCACCCGGGTCCCCCTCATCATGCGTCTCCAGAATCAACCAAATCTTGCTAGCCCGGAGCTCCAGTTGGAGTTCAACGGCAAAATTGTCTCTACTGATGAAGCTCAGATCGAGAAATCAATAATCGAGGCCACCCAAGAGATAGCCGGCCATGGAAAAGGAATTTCCCACACACCTTTAACGTTGGCTGTCAAGAAAAATGGAGTTCCGGATTTAACCATGGTGGATTTGCCCGGAATCACCAGAGTTCCGGTTCATGGCCAGCCGGAGGATATCTACGAACAGATTTCTAACATCATCATGGAGTATATAACCCCAGAAGAAAGCATAATTCTCAATGTTCTATCCGCCGCTTCTGATTTTACCACAAATGAGTCGATTCGGATGTCTCAGAAAGTCGACAAAACAGGGGAAAGGACTCTCGCCGTGGTTACAAAAGCCGATAAAGCTCCGGAAGGACTTCTCGAGAAAGTCACCGCCGACGACGTTCGGATCGGACTGGGTTACGTCTGTGTCCGGAACAGAATCGGCGACGAATCGTATGAGTTGGCGAGAAACGAAGAAGCCAAACTCTTCCACACCCATCCCCAGCTATCCAAGATCAACAAATCCATGGTCTCAATCCCCGTCCTAGCCCAGAAGCTGGTCAGAATCCAGGCCACCATTATCTCCAAATGCTTGCCGGAGATCATCAAGAAAATCAACGACCGGCTGGCGGCGAACGCGGCGGACCTGAACCGATTGCCCCCCAAGTTGAACTCCGTGGCGGAAGCCATGACCGCATTCATGCGGATTCTGGGCTCGGCCAAGGACTCGCTCAAGAAAATCCTGTTACTCGGGGAGTTCGACGAGTACCCGGAGGATAAAAACATGCACTGCTCGGCCCGATTGGTGGAGATGCTCAACAACTACTCGGCGGAATTGCAGGCGAGAAATCCCGGCCAAAATAAAGACAATTTCTTGATCGACGAAATCTCAGCCTTGGATGAGTCCAAAGGGATTCAACTCCAGAATTTCCTCCCCCGCGGGATTTTCCTCAACATGCTTCAAAAAAACGTCAAGGCAATTTCCGCAATTCCTCGCAATTTCGTCGACGATCTCTGGGATTACATCGAAGCAGTTCTAATCAAAGTGTTGATCCACCACTCCGAAAACTACCCACAGCTCCAGTCTTCAACTAGAAGAGCTGCCCAGAATCTTATTTCCAAGAAGAAACAGGAATCGGCGAAATGGGTGGAGGAGATAATCGGGATGGAAACTCATACAGATTACACATGTAACCCAGAATACATTACTACATGCAATAAACTCATGGAGAAGCAGGGAGAGTTCATGGAGGTCGTGAAGGATCCATGGAGGTCCAAGATCACGATCGCCGGAATCGGGGAAGAGATAGAAACCCAGCATCTCAAGCGCCACCAATCCGTGGCGCAGCAAGCGTTTGACCTGAAAATGAGGATGGTTGCGTATTGGAACATAGTTCTGATGAGGTTTGTGGACTCCATGGCACTGCACGTCCAGTTCTCGATCCACAAGCTGGTGACGAAGGAGATGGAGGAGGCGATCGTTGCCGATCTTATGGCGCCTCACGGCGGCGGCATAGAGAGGATGTTGGATGAGTCTCCCACCGTCGCCAAGAAGCGTATCCGGTTAAGCAAGAGCGTGAAGCTGCTGAAGGAATCCAAGAATGTCGTGGCAAATATCATCGATCGCATTAGTCAATGATGATTTGTGAATACTATCTTTTTTCTAACCTTCTAATTGTGAAGTATGTTGGCTACTCTATGTGCTGTTTGTCACCTTTGCTGTAATGATAATAAATCAAACCTTTATCTGTTTGTGAATTGCGATATTGCAAGGGGTTGCTGGGATAGCACTACTGGGAATTATGAAATTTCCGACCAGCTGAAAGTGATCTTAAATCAAGTTGAAAACCTTGTTCCGACCACTTTTAGTATCTAAAAAAATTTTTGTTGCTATTTCCGACCACTTTTTAGTATCACTTTCAGGTGGTCAGAAATTCCATAATTTTCAGTAGTGTAGGGTGGGGTATGGTCACTTGTTAGGAACAAGGGTATTAATTAAATTTTGATTATACTAAAAAAAGTTAAAAAATTTTAGTACCCAATTATTTTTATTTTCTAGACTTAGTAGTTTTTGAAATCTAAATCCGAAATGTTTGCTTAGAGAATGAAGTTTATTAACGGGAAAGTAAAATAACTGGAAAGTAAACGAAGTTTAAAAAGCAACTTCACTATAATTTAGTCTTGAAAGGTCAGTATAATAACTTCCGAAATGCCAGGCTACAAAAAGTTGAAGACTCAACAGAAAAAAGTTGAAGCTATGAGAAGTCAAAAGAGTGAAAGACCGAAGGTTCTATGGTCGAAAAATGAAAAGACCAACCTTAGTCGGAAAGATTAACGAAAAGTTAATTTAAGGTGAAAAGTAACTTTCGAGTTCCGAGAGGTAAAGGATTAACTGTACAAGAAGTCGAATCCAAAAGGTTGCTGAGGTATGATCTTAAAGAACTCCCCCTTTTAAACTTGGTCCCCTAAGCCTTTAAAGCTTTCAAATCTTCATTTTTATGATTTTCGCACCCCACGTACGAGCACCGTACGCGCATACATGCCCGCGTTATTGGTTCTGCCAATTCCAGTACGAGTGTACTGTTCTCATATTGTTTTAACCATCAAGATGCAAATTAGACTTTATTGTCTTTAGTAAAGTTGTAGTCCATTGAGTTTCTGTTCCAATGCAACTTGAGTTGTAAATAAAGAATAATCAAAAGTTCAACCTTGGATAAAAAGGAGAACTCACAAGATACAAATCAAGCAAAGAATTAGAACAAAGTTGTCTCCATATTTGAATTTGCGAACTCATTGCTATGGTGAAGATAGTAGTTAAGTCAACATTATATAGGGGAGAGATCGCGTTGTTGAATGAAGTTAACACTTCCGTGACAGTTCTTTGACATAAGCGAAAACTCTCAAAATTATAAATTTTTTGCATTTGGAGAAATAGGTCAGCAAGAAAACGAAACCCCTAATTACTCTAGAAGGCTTTATGAACTTTGCAAAATTGGAAAGAAAAAAGAAGAAACATTACAAACCTCTAGAAGGAAGAAACGAAAAATTTATTTGCTCATTCATAATTGCACTTTCACTGCACACAAAAGCAAGAAATGAACCTTACAACAATTTCAATCTAAAACTCCAGACAAATCTCGAAAGTCTAAAAATAAAAAGGAAATGCTTAGAAAATCATGAATAGCACGCAAAAATAATCTGATAAGAAATTCATAATTAGAGCATAAAAAATGAAACAACTAGAGAACAAATCATAATCTATAAAGGTAATTCAGATATGTCTAATCAAGAATTCGAAACAAAAATCAATCAAACATCAATATAGGTAAATGAAGAACAAGAAAAAGTTCAACCTTGGATTAAAAGGAGAACTTGCAAGATACTAATCAAACAAAGAATTTGAACAAGGTTGTCTCCATTTTTGAGGTTGTGTACGTACTCGTATTGTGGTGAAGACTAAAGTTTAGCCAACATTATATATGGGAGAGATCGCTACTGAATAACATTAGAAGTTAGAACTTCTATGACAGTACCCTGACTTGAGCACAAACTATCAAAATTACAAATTTTTGTATTTAGGGAAAGAAGAAAGCAAGAAAACAAAACCTAATTTCCTTAGAAGGCTCACTGAACTTTGCCAAAATGGGGAGGAAAAAGAAAAAGAATACTAACCTATAGAAGGAAGAAATGGAAAAATAATTTGCCCATTTTCACAAGTGCACTTGCACTGCACATAGAAGGAAGAAATGAACCCTACAACAATTTGAATCAAAAACTCTATAAATATCTCAAAAACCCTAAAATTTCATGGAAACACTTAGAAAACCACGAAAACCAAGCCAAAAAAAAAAAAAAAAAAAAAAAAAACACACACACAAGAAATTCATAATTAGAGTATAAAAAAAATGAAACAAAGATTAATCACACATCCATATAGGTAAATGAAGAATAAGCAAGTTAAACCGTGGATAAAAAGGAGAACTCTCAAGATACTAATAAAGAAAAGATTTGGAACAAGGTTGTTTCCATTTTTGAGGATGTGTACTAGTTGATGTGGTGAAGGCTAAAGCTTAGCCAACATTATATAGGGGAGAGATCGCTGCTGAGTGACGTTAGCACTTCTGTGGTAGTTCCCTGGCCTGAACGCAAAAACTCTAAAAATTAAAAAATTTTGCATTTGTTGAAAGAGGAAAGCAAGAAATAAAATAAAACCTAATTTTTCCATAAGGCCCTATGAACTTTGAATAAAAGGACAGGAAAAAGATGTAGCAATACTAACCTCTAGACAGAAGAAATGAAAAAAAAATATATATATATATATATATATATATATATATATATATATATATATATATATATATATATATATTTGCTCATTTTTACAATTGCACTTGCAATGCACACAAAGAGAAGAAATGAACCCTACAACAATTTCAATCAAAAACACCAAACAAATCTCAAAAATCTAAAATTTCAAGGAAATGCTTAGAGAACCATGAAAACCAAACAAAAAAAATCTCACATGAAATTCAAATTAAAGCATAAAAAAAATCAAACAACTACAAAACAAATCAAATCCAATTCTTTCCGCTTGCGCCTTCACTACTAGCAATACACTACAAGAAAATTGGTCATTAATGAGAGGTAAAACCGTCACTAAAGGATCAAAAACCATCATAAAAGACTTTTAATGACGGGAAATTTACCGTCGTTACCCGTCGTTATATCTTCCGCGGTTAAAAACAAATAGTGACGGGATATGATACCATCATTACTAAGCATATAGTGATGGTGTATTTACCGTCACTAAAACGTTCTTTTTGTGACAAAAAATCCCGTCACTAGTACAACTACTCACTAGCATAATTTCCTTTCATTATATTCTTGTAATGATGGAAAATCACGTCATTAATATTACTAATATTAGATTTTACCAATCACTACAAATTATAATTTAGTGTAAAATATTAATTTTCTAATTTTGTATATATTGTTACTTCCATTATATAAGGGAGAGAGAGCCATTGAATGACATTAGCACTTCCATTGCACTTCGATGAAGTGAGCGCACACTCGTAAAATTAGAAATTTTTTCATATGTGGCAATATCCTCTTCCAAATGTTTCACAATGATTTCTCTAATTTTAGAAAATTTTAAAATACTTTTTTCAAATAAGAATATAAACAATTAATATTTATGCTTAAATGAAGAAAAAAATATTTCTACATACACATTTGTAATTTTTATATTCGTACTTCTCTCACATTTTTTTATCCTAAGATTATTGTCTTAATTTCTCATTTCCATGTAACGTAGATCGGCTCTCCTCACAATAGCACTTGGTCTGCACACAGATAGAAGAAATGGACCTTATAACAATTTCAATCCAAAACTCCATACAAATCTTTAAAATATAAAATTTCACGGAAATGTTTAAAGAACCATTAAAAAAAAAAAAAAGACCAAAAAATCTTAAAAGAAATTCATAATTAGAGAATAAAAAATAAAAAGAAACAATTACTAGAGAATAAATATTAGTCTAAATAGGTACTTTGATATGTCACATTGAGAATTCGCAACAAAGATCAATCAAAAATCCATATAGGTAAATGAAAAACAAGCAAAAGTTTAACCATGAATAGCAACGACAACTCAGAAAATATTAATCAAGCAAAGAATTGGAACAAGCTTGTCTCCATTTTTGAGGTTGTGTACTCATTGTGGTGAAGACTGAAGTTTAGCCGACATTATATAAGGGAGTGATCGCCGCTGAAACACTAGAGTACCAATCAGAATCTGGAAAGGTATTTCTTATATGTCTCATCGAGAATTCAAAACAAAGATCAATCAAACATCAATATAGGTAACTAAAGAACAAGCAAAAGTTCAACATTAGATGGAAAAGAAATCTCACAAGATACTAATCAAACAAAGAATTGTAACAAGGTTGTCTCTATTTTTGAGTTTGTGTACCGGTTGTTGTGGTGAAAACTGAAATTTAGCCAACATTATATAAGGTACACATGGCCGTTGAATTACATTAGCACTTCCATTGCACTTCCATGACACGAGCGCAAACTCTTCAAATTAGAAATGTTTTCATATCTGGCAATATCCCCTTCCATAAAATGTTTCACAACAATTTCTCTAATTCTAGAAAATTTTAAAATACTTTTTTAATATAAAAATATAAACAATTAATATTTATGCATAAATGAAGAAAAAAATATTTCTACATACACATTTGTAATTTTTATAATTGCAATTCTCTCACATTTTTTTATCCTAAGATTATTGTCCTCGTTTCTCGTTTCCATGTAACGTAGACTAGCTCTCCTCACAATTGCACTTGGTTTGCACACAGATGGAAAAAATGGACCTTATACCAATTTCAATCCAAAACTCCATACAAATCTTTGAAATGTAAAATTTCAAGGAAATGCTTAGAGAACCATGAAAAACAAGCCCAAAAAATTCTAAAAAAAATTCATAAGTAGAGAATAAAAAAGAAACAATTACTAGAGAACAAATACTAGTCTAGACAGGTACTTCTGGTATGTCTCATTGAGAATTCGAAACAAAGATCAATCAAACACCCATATAGTTAAATGAAAAACAAGTAAAAGTTCAACCATGGATAAAAAGGAAAACTCACAAAATATTAATCAAGCAAAGAATTGGAAAGAATTTGTCTCCATTTTTGAGTTTTTGTACTCGTTGCTAAGGTGAAGACAAAAGTTTAGCCAACCTTATATAGGAGAGATATAGCTACTGAATGACGTTAGCACTTTCGTGACAATTCCTTGACATGAGCGCAAACTCTCAAAATTTGAAATTTTTGCGTTTGAGGAAAGTAAGAAACCAAGAAAATAATAAAACCTAATTGCTCTGGAAGTTCCTATGAAATTTATCGAAATGGAGAGGAAAAGGAAGCGGCATTACCAACCTCCAAAAGGAAGAAATGAAAAGATTATTTGTCCATTTTCGCATTTGCACTTGCACTGCACACAGAAGAACGAAATGAACCCTACAACAATTTCAATCTAAAACTCCATACAAATCTCAAAAGTCTAAAATATTATGGAAACGCTTAAACATCTATGAAAAGAATGCCAAACAATTATTTTACAAGAAATTCATATTTGAAATTAAAAGTTACGTTATTTACACCCACTTTTCACTACAAATAGAAACACCCTAATGGAAATGGTTAGAAATTAATGGGGAAGCGAAAAAGTATTATGGGAAAGAGAGAAATTTATGGCAAAGAGGGAAAATTTATATGTGGCGGAAAGATTTTTCCTTTAAATTTACTTTCCGCAACACTTTCGGGACGAAAGTATCGCGAAAAGTAATATAGATTTTTTAATAATTTACACGTCTATCTTTTGCGCACATTCTGGAAAAATGTGTCACGGAGAGTAGTCGCATTTTTTAAAGAAAACACTAAACTTTTTAAACAAAAGTGTAGCGTTTTCTTATGTATTTTTTTACGATTTTTCCTCCACACATTTTTTTTTCAAATATACACTACACTTTTATTAAGAAATGTATTAAAAAATCATATTCCTATATTCATTTTTGTAGTAGTGTATGTCTCATCGAGAATTTGAAACAAAGATAATTCAAACATCCATATAGGTAAATGAATAACAAGCACAAGTTAAACTTTGGATATGATGAAAATGAGAACAAACAAGATACTAATCAAGCTAAGAATTGAAACAAGGTTATCCCCATTTTTGAGTTAATGTAATCATTGATATGATGAAGACTAAAGTTTAGCCAATATTATATAGGGGAAAGATCACTATTCAATGACATTAGCACTTCCGTGGCAGTTCCCTGACGTGAGCGCAAACTCTCAAAATTAGAAAAGTTTGCATTTAGGAAAATACGGAAGCAAGAAAACAAAACCTAATTTCTCAAGAATACCCTAAGAACTTTGCCAAAATGGAGATGAAAGAGATGAAGATTTACTAACCTCCAAAAGAAGAAATAAAAAATTTATTTGCCCATTTTCACAATTGCACTTGCACTGCACAAAAAATGAAGAAATGAACTCTACAACAATTTCAATTCAAAACTCTATACAAATCTTAGATATGTAAAAGATCAAGGAAACACTTAGAAAACCATAAAAAGCAAGCCAAAACAAAATCTCAAAAGAAACTCATAATTACAGTACAAAAAATGAAACAATTACTAGAGAGCAAATATGAGTTCAGAATGGAATTTCCGATATATCTCATCGAGAATACGAAACAAAGATCAATCAAACATCTATATACGTAAATGAAGAACAAGCAAAAGTTCAACCTTGGATAAAAACGAGAACTCACAAGATAATAATCAAGCAACGAATTGGAAAAAGTTTGTCTCCATTTTTGAGTTTTTGTACTCGTTGCTGAGGTGAAGACGGAAGTTAAGCCAACATTATATAGGAGAGAAATAGATATTGAATGATGTTAGCACTTTCGTGACAATTCCTTGACATGAGCTCAAACTCTCAAAATTTGAAATTTTTGCGTTTGGAGAAAGTAGGAAACCAAGAAAATAATAAAACTTAATTGCTCCGGAAGTCCCTATGAAATTTGTCGAAATGGAGAGGAAAAAGAAGCAGCATTATTAACCTCCATAAGGAAGAAATGAAAAAAAAAAATTCCATTTTCGCATTTGCACTTGCACTGCACACAAAATAACGAAACGAACCCTACAACAATTTCAATCTAAAACTCCATACAAATCTCAAAAGTCTAAAATATTATGGAAACGCTTAATCATCCCTGAAAAGAATGCCAAAAAAATTATCTCACAAGAAATTCATATTTAGTGAATTGAAAAATGAAAAAACTAGAGATCAAATCAGAGTCTATGATGAGTGTCAAATACACTATGTTTGTGAAGTGTTTTGGAGGCGTTTTGTGCTTTAATTGTTATCCTTAGGATGCTCTAAGTGCTATAAATTGAGTTAAAGGACTAATATGGTGCATTTTGGTGTTTGTTAGGCAAAAGGATTAAGGCAAGGCCAAAATAGTTAAGAATATAACTTAAATATGAAGAATGCGAGATTGGACAATCACGCCCAAGGTCGTGCCGTGAGGAGTAGTGTGACACCAACTTCAGAGACATGGTTCTGCTCTTCACGCCACTCCCCACATAGTAGAAGCTCATGACAGAAACTTCCGCAAGTTGGTTATGCTATCCACGCAAACAATCTCGAAGTAGGAAAACTCGTGACATGAACTTTTGCACCATGGTTCTGCTCGTCACCCTTCTCATCACGAGGTAACTAGTCTCATGACGAGGTTATGATCACGCGGTGATTGACTTGTCACACAGTCCACTACCACGTGACGAGCTACGTGATGTAGGTTAAAATTTCGGCTATATATAGATGTTTTCTTCTCATTTGCGGGGGGGGGGGGGGGGGGGGCGGGGAGGGGGGAATTTTAGATTTTTACACTTTGTTCAGACTTGTACTTTATATTTTAGAGAGAGAATCCTCCATAGGGTTCTTGGAGCAACTTCACACATTGATCTAAGGAATCTAGGGGATCCCAACTATAATTGATTGGAGATTTACCTAAAGATTGGAGATTGTTCTTGAAGCTAAGTTTAATTTGTACATTTCATTCATTTGCAGTTTACTTTTTGCTGGTCCGGTATGAGGGGTTAAAGGCAAAATCAGCATCGATCTTGACAATAAAACACTTGGTAAATAGGATGTAATCAATGTTTAATAAAGTTTATGCACAAAGTGATAAACAATTTAACTCCAAGTTAGTATTAATTCAATAAAAAACAAAAAAAAAAAAAACACACACACACACACACAAAATCAAGTAATACACTCATTCATACTAATTCTGAAAATATGAACTTGAAAAATGAACAAGTGCAAAATGGATGTGGAAATAATTGATGAAACTGAATACGTTGTGGCATTAGTATTCGGACTACCTACAAAGTTATTGTTGTTACTATCAAGTAAATAAGTTATAAAAATAGAACAAGAGATCCTACTCATGAACGTTATACAAATATAATATAATAAATATTAATATTTTATTCGATACTTCCACAAAAACATGTAGGGAAAAACTACCACTACATGCAAGATCAAGAGCTCATAGTACAACTAAGAAAACAAATCCACAACTTCCTACACCATAATATCATTACATGTCATCTATGCTACCATCAGTAACACAATTACAAATGACAAACTGCCAAAAAAAAAAAAGACAAATAGTGAAGAGGAAGACAATGACGATGCTACTTAAAAGAGAATTAAGAAAACTTAGAGAAATTCAAATAAAAAATAGTATTTATTTAGACTATAATTTTTAGACTAAGTATTTAGGCTATCAATTTTACAAAGTTACAAGCATTTATTTTTAAAACAATTATAATGAATCTCCTATACTATCTTACCTTCATATACTTTGAATTACCTATTTAAATAAACAAATTCGATATTCAATTACCTATTTATGAACTTATCCTATATAATCTTGCATTGATATACTTTAAAGTACTTTATCTAAGTATAAACTAATCATATATAATCTTGCATTGATATACTTTGAAATACTTATTTAAATATAAACATTGAAATACTTATTTAAATATACATATTGGACATTAACATATTCGCGCAATGGGCAGTGTAAAACTAGTAATATAATTCAAGTGAGATACAAACTCTATGCGTAGTAGTCGTCCTAATACAACCAACCCTTTGAAGTTCAATAAACTATATCATTCTCAACTATGTTTACAGAAAATACGTGCAACTGGAGGTTTTTAAGTTGAGCAACAACTTCAACTAAACACAAAATTCTAAAATCTTAACCATATAACAAATCATGCTTCCTGCAGGGCAAGTTTGGTCATGACTGGCCATGGTGCTACTCCAGTTGCTGGCAACTGAGGCCGGATCACAGGGACCCGCTTCACTACCGAGAATGCCTCGTTAAGGCGCGCAGCACGGCTCATGAACTGAGATACCTTCTGTACACACCAAACGTACAATAAAATAGTCAGACTGCCAAAACAGTTCAACATGCAAACATTAATGGATATTACAGTCCCTGAACTATATATCTAAGCATTCACACTCTATGTTAATCCAATCATATGATTACAATCAACATAATGCCAATGAAACACAGTCTTTTGATCATATCTTACCAAAAGGTGGAAATTAAGAGGCCTTAGTAGGACCTGTATCAACCCAATTATATGTAACTTCAGGTAATTAACAATCCAAGTACCATGTGTGATGTGTTCGGGTCAGTCAATATGCACAAGAATTTATTTCTGGCATGAAGCAAACCAAAATTCTATAAGGTTTCTTCCCAGAGAGGCACAAAGTAAATTCTCAAGCCCCAATCTCCCTGTCACATACTCACATGGTGACAACTGAAAAATTGCACCAAAAATCAACTTCATCTGCCTAGCATATGCAACTTAATTTCATAGAAGGTTATGGGATGGATGCCAAATATTCTCACTGGTTTAGGTAGAATAATAGTCAACAATATATTCAAGGATAAAGTATGCTATAATTTACTGAATTTTTTAGCAAAACTTAGAAAAATCCCTTGACTATATACTATTCCCCTGAAATCTAACGATAATCAAGCTTCAGGTTCAGTATACCCCAGCTACTGGCCTTTTTCTAGAATAAATAAAAGTGCAACATCAAAAGAAACAATACGCTGCCTCCCGAGGTAACACACAGCTATTATTAGCAATTACTCCGTATTACCTAAATGTATACATAATTGGATGGACTTTTTGAAGATAGTAAGCATCACTCGAGGCATATTGCATAGGATGTACTTAGCAACCTAAAATATCAGTATTGTTATAATCTAAGATGGGCTATAATGCACATAGGCCAAACCACACTACAAGATTGAACCCAATCAATTAGCTGGTCTAACCCAATGGCCTTATAAACAAGTATCAAATACTAACAGCGTAGGAATAATCATTTCTATTGAAACTTTCTTCTGGCCATGAAAGCAATTCAATTCCCTCTGGAGTCTAGACCTAGAGAGAAAGCCAAATGATGCAAGAGCATAACTGGGTGTAAAAGCTTGTTAAGTCATGTGTTTAACACAAAGCTAAGACACATTTGTTATTCACAGGCCAAACCAGCAAAATATTTAAGTAATCAATGAACACATTGATGGAATAATCATTTCACACTCTACAGCTACAGAAAGCTGCCAAATTAAATTTACTAACAAATGCATCAAGGCACTAAATCTTTACCAGTGGGTTACAAAAAACATTGTATTATCAGTGTCTGTTGATAGTATTAAATAGATGACTAAATCAAGCTTTGTTTTTAAGGTGTAAAGCAACCAAGCACCAAAGTAAAGAGCAAAAGAAAACTTCAACCTAAGACTAACCTTGTCATCCATGGTGACTTTGAGCTCCAAGCTCCTTATCTTCTTCTTCACCCTGTATATTCGGTGACCCAAAATAGCAAATCCTATCAGAGCAGCAGCCATGGAGAAGGTCCACACAGGTTTAAACCTGAACATACAGTACTTCAGAAGCTCAAACGGCGCCTTCCACCAAACCACACTCTTCTTTTCCACCTCTGCCTTCTTCACTTCAACAATTTTGTTCATGGTTTCACCACCAGTTGGCACGATTTCATGTTCTTTTTCAGTGAACACCTCTGATCCGTCGCACAAATTCTCCTCTTTTTCAACTACCAACTCCTTATCCTCAAACTCATCGAATTTCGCTCCACCATATCCATATCCATTTCCTCCCCAACCGGAATTGAACTCCTCGAAGTTATTCTTCACTTCAACTTCAACAGTTTTGTTCACGGTTTCACCACCAGTTGGTAAGGTTTCATGTTCTTTGTCAGCAAAAACCTCTGATTCCTCGCGCAAGTTATCCTCAAACTCCTCGAATTTCGCTCCACCGAATTCATTTCCTTCCCAACCGGACTTGAATTCCTCGAAGTTATTCCCTGTCTCATTAATTCCACCAAAACCCCCTTGAACTTTCTCCTTATCGAGAAGAAAGTCAATTTCTCCTTTCCCCTCAAACTCCTCTAGCATCCGAATCTCTGACCTATCAACTTCCAACTCGGGACAGAACTCGTCAGAACCCTCCCGGGACAACGCGTGGCCAATCCAATTCGGATTATCCGATGCCCCTGACCCCGCCGCCCCGACGGCATCAGCAGCAGCAACGGTTTTCAGATACCGATCGTCATCATCAACTGAAAAGTAATCGTTACGAATCACACCATCCGAATCAGCTCCGAATTCCCCAAATTTGAACTGGTTTCCAGAATCCGAACCCGGGCTCGGCTGCAGCACCTCCCAATCATGAAATTCATCCATATCCATGGCGGTTTCACTCTTCCTTGATCGAAGGGGAAAAACAAAGAAACGCTAAGCTCCTTGGGAATGAATCAATTACAGTGAGAGAAAAAGAGATACAAGGGAACGGTGAAAACAGGGGCAGCAGAAGCCCCAGGGTCGAGCAATTACAACACTGGGCGCAGGTGGTTTAAACTACCTCTTGGATTTGGTGGTAGTGGTACCCATCGGATACGATTCATTTTAAACAATTTTACTCCGTATCGGATAAATAATGTTTATCAAAGTACGCGTTTTGTGCGAATAGATAATGCTTAATAGTTATTTTTAAATAAATATATTAATATACATAGGTAAATAAATATTGAATTTGTTTATTAAAATCGATAATTTAACGGATACAGGACTGACCCAGAGGGGGGGTAGGATGAGCACCCGCCCTGGGCCCAATGTTGGGAGGGGGCCCCTAACTTTTTTTTTTTTTTGTTTTGTTTTTTAAAACAAATGTTTACAACCATTTGATATATTTATCTGAAATCTGAAATCTCCACTAAAACTCAATTTCATGACCTCCCATATGGGAAAGTCACTACATGTCATTTGAGTACAAAGTGTTTGGCGTGAATATTGAATTAATTTATGATTATACTTCATCTAGGGTCCCAAAGTTTTAGTGAGCACTACTCCAAGACTATTATACAATGTTTTTTTTTTTAATAAAAACAGTTATATGTTTACAAAAATTAAAAATTGTCATTTTGTTATTTTCAATTAACCAATACTATCTATTAAGAGTTTTTATACCATAAACCAGGATCCACCTTACAAGGTGGACCCTGGTCCTAAACGACGTATAAATTATGTATTTTTAGTATTAGAATTGTGAACTTCTAGAATATAAATTGTGTCTCTAAGTCAAAACACATAACAACAGTAGAATGAAATTTGTGAATAAAATACTAGGTCATCAAATCCTAATATCTTAATATTGTGTGATTGCAATATTTGAAAAGAACTTGTGAATACAAAATAAGATAATCGATTACATATATATATTAACATCGTGTATTCGTAGTATACAAATTTTGAATTTTTAAAAAGTAAATTGTGATCATTTGGACTGAGGTCCACCTTGCAAGGTGGACCTGGGTTCACAAAATAATTTACAATCTTTTAACTTCATATATTAAGGATTTAAGGGCCCTTGTTTTTGTTTCGCCCCGGGCCTATAAAATGATAGGACCGGCCCTGAACGGATATAAATACAAAATAATATATGATATTAATTATATATAACTATTACAAAAATAAATATTTACAATTTTGTAATAATACTAGTCTAAGTACTCAATCTAAAAGCGATAGTCTAAATAAGTACTACATTTGATTTAAAAATACGTTTTAAATAAACAAGTAAATAATTAATATATTTTTTAAAAATATTTGTAAATGCAAACTTATATTTTTAATAATTGTATTTTTCTCACACATTTGGTATCCTGCGTTTTCTCTTTTTATATTTCTGTGCAACCTAGGTGTGTCAGGATACAAAGTCACTCTTCTATTAATGTCACCCACAAGAGACAAGCATGCAGAAGTAATTGATTCTAAATGCACCGATGAAAGTCAAGAGACATTGCACTAATGTATATAGTGTGCTATTGTGTTAAGAATGATTAATAATTTGTGATAAAGTTAAAAAGATAATATAAATAATTAATAATTTGTGATAAAGTTAGAAAGATACAATTTCAATATAATATTGTTGTTTAATCTCATCTTATCTTATCACTCCCAACTGCAATAACAAAATAACAAAAGCACAAATGTTAATGACAAACAAAAATCCTAAGCATGGTGCAAGTTGAGGTATTTCATAATTAATTTAAAAAAATAAAAAAAAAATGAGAAGTTATTGGTATATGCCGTCCAATATTACATGACATCAACATTCTATGATAACCAAATATTTTTATTAAAAAAAAAAAAAAAAGGAAGAAAGACGGGTCCTAGTGCTATGAATTATCTTCAGTTTACTAATTCCTTTTGAAGAAACAAGGTCAATATTGATGCCTTATGATCAAAGACAGGTTTTTTTTTTTTTTTTTTTTTTGAATCCTGCAGTATGACAATTCAGAGAGCTAAGGATTTAGTTAGGTGCCTTGTCTACTTACAATTCAATAGTTGCAGTTTGCTCATCTATTTTCCAATACATCTTCAGTCAGTCAGCCAGCCAGTCATTCAAATGTTTGTCCCAAATTGACTGATAAGCATGGAGTCCTGGGTCCATTGACATTACTTGGTATCATTAGTTAACTGATTTTGGGACCAAGGGAATACTTCAAGTCTTTGAAAAACATTGATATTTTCTCAGCTTTATCGGCTGAAAGGTCAGTGTTCTTCAAAATACACTCCTTTGATGCTTTGGCTATTGCTTCAATTGAACCAATGGCTTGGTTGAGCTGAAAAAGAAAGGAACATAGTTAACTTTACATTCGTCAAAGAAAGGTTAGATAAGAGTGCAGGCATTAAATATCATGCCTGGCTTCTAGCTTGAGCAACCAAAATAAGTTCTTCTGCAGTAGTGGTTTTATCAGATTATCAAGAAAGTAGAGAGGAAAAACTGATGTTAAAGCTTATAGGTCGTACTATCATGGGATGAGTAGGTCTATATACTATACTCCTGGGGTGACGAGAGAAACCCGCAACCACTACCTGAGGGTGTACAGGTAAACCATGCCTTGTGACCTTAGCCGGCAAAGGACCACAAGGAGGTAAACTAGCCTAAGTTGCTCATAGCTAATCGGCTCAAACCAAGAGGGTTGAGATTCAAACTCGTGACCTTGTGGTTACAAGTTTGTATCCTTAGCCATCTTGGCTGGGGTTACCCCACAACAAGTTTCTTCTGAGATCATAAAATGAAGGCAACACCAGTTACTCATGTCAGAACTTAGAAAATAGATGTGGCTCAATTGCGAAAGAAAGCGTAACAATTCCTTAGAAAATGGACAGCAATAATTCAACACAAAATGATGATTAACAGAAGTTCTTACTGAATTTGCATCATGCTTATCAATGCCAGGAATTGCCGAGACAACTTTGAGATAGGCATCCATTGCTTGAACTGATTTTTCCTTCTAACAATGTAACATGACAACTTAAATTCACATAAAATGAAGAATGCAATATCAGTAAAAAAGGAAACAGTCTGAAATCTAACCTCAGATTTCAGTTTTGCAACTGCATCTTGCCGCTTACAGACTGCAATTAGTAGCAGTTGGTATAAAGATATGCATAAAACTTTGATCAATCATCAAGAAATGAGGCCTTACCCCCACGAGCATGTGCAATCTTCACGATCTTTTCCATACCCATCTCTAAATATTTCACTGGAATAAAAGTTGGCTTTCCAAGTTCCATACCATACCTTCAACAAAAATAATAAAACATTGCACAAAATAAGTTTCTGCTTGTTAGTACACTATGCACAATTTAGTTAAAAATAAAAGCAGAGAGGACCTTACTTGAAGTAAGAGCAAATGAAACAATCATTTTGTTCCTGGGTTGGGAGGGTGACAACCACATACAGGTTTGCAAATTGTTCCTTTAGTTTCTGGACTCTACTATCAACAAGACAAGATTAGCTAAAGGTGCAAATGATCAACTAGAAAAGCAAAAATTCAGAAGTTACCTGCAAAATATTGATTTTGTTTCCACACCATCCCAATTAGTTACAAAAATGAAAGCCACAGACAAACCCCCACAGTTAATGATAAAATCCTGTTAACAACCATAGTTTAGTAGCACATGGAGGACCAGAGACAGTGAGCTGAAATCAGATATTTACCGGTGCTATTGGCACAAAATTCAGACGAAAAGAGTTTTCCTGTAAGAAGCTGGAGATGAAATTAATAAAAGATGGGTGTTGCTCATCCCTCCAAGTGTTACTCACCATACACACCCCATTGCAACCTGCATGAGGATTTATTAAAGGAATTGGATAGATTTAAAGAAAAATAGAGAAGATAATGTAACAAAACTAGACCACTCTGATCAACAGTGACGGAAGACATAAAAGATCTATATATGAACAGTTGAATATCATTTAAAGCTTTCTGAACAAGATGTCAAAATGGAAAATTATGTTGATGCAATCTACTTTAGGATACAAAAAAGGAGAACCTTATCCTGTAAGTGAGAAATCATCAGCAATTAAAAGATGACTATTGATATCACATGTACACATTGCTAGTGGAAACATAAATCATAGAACTTATCACATCAGACCTATAAAGTATCAATTAATTCCATCACTACAGAATACTGTTGGTAGAGAAATTTGATTTAAATTCATTAGGAATATAGTGTCCTAGAGTCCTAGCTCCTAGTGCATGATAAATAGATGATGAATAAAGCTTCTTGAAAAAAGGAAAGCAAATGGACTAGCACAACATTTGAAAAATTGCTAATTTCATGTCACTTCACAATTCATGATTCAAAAATGCTGCAAACTTGTGTGTTGATGATACAGAGAAATGTAATGTTTTGACTGTACTTATGCCTTAAAAATCCGCAAATGAAAATTTGAGCTTTAGCTCCCCAAAATTTGTAAGCTATGGTTGGTAGAAAAACTATGAGTTTATTGGAACAAGTTGATTTATCCACACAACCAATTTTCCTTTCTGACATCTGAGGAAGAGCGCTTAAAATTTTACACAGAATTACAAAATCAAATTCGCAAGCCCATTGTGAACCATTTCTCTAGCGAAAAATTACTCAATGCTATTGCTGATCAATATTCTCTAGTAAGTTTAGCGCAATTTAGAGGTTTAAGGCATCGAAGTGTCAAACTGCAAAATGAACAATTCTGCTGGTATCCACAAATCAGAACACTCATATTCAGCTCTAAAAAACATTAGTTTCAGCATCACGAAGCAAATTTTTACACTGGACAACATGAGATCGAATTTAATGGAGATTTTCAATGCAACAGAACGCAAATGCGGAACGCATGAGAATCGCGATGAGGAAGAATAGAGAATAGATACAAAACGACGATTAGGATTGAAGAAATGGAAGTGGAACAATACCAGAGTTGGATAAGCTAGAAGGATTCGGAAATGGCTGCCTGTAACCGCCACTCATCAGTTATCTTCGAGTCCGTTATGGTGAGAGAGAACAGAGTGAGATCTCCGGCATTTTTTTCAACTATATATACTCGACTTCGAGAACCGCGAAAATTGAAATCGTTTTTCCCTTTTCTTTCTTTTTCATTTCATTTTCTTTTTCCAACTTCAAATTTTATTTGAGCAGACAATACTTGACACCGTAATGGCAATATAATAATTTTTTTTTTTTTTGAAAATATAATAATTTGATTATTATTATTATTATTATTATTATTATTATTATTATTATTATTATGTAATTATTTAAATTTTTTTGAAAGGTAATTATTTAATTTAATGAGTCCACGTGGCAATAGAATAATTTGATTATTATTATTATTTTATTTTATTTTATGACAAAAATTAGAAGTTAGGGTTTAAAGACTTTAAACCCTCTAACCTCTTGAATAATAGAGATTCAAGTTCTTTTACCACCAAGCTACTCATTAGTGTTGATATATATATGTGTAAGAAATAAGTAATCATCTATCCTCTACTTCATCTACTCATCTACTATAATAAAGCCACAACATTAAGAAAAATAATAATAGAAATAGTATATTTATGAATTAGTATCTCTAAAAATATAATTACCAATAAGGAATAATGACCACATGTTATTTTCAATGTATCTTTTGAATTCAAGCGTTTTTTGAGTACTACAAAACATTATTTGTACGCATTAAAGTAGATAGCAATATCTGTATATATATTGGGTTCTCATATTGTAGAGGACTTAAAGACAGTGTCACCATGAGCCCGAAAGTGATGGTGGCGATAACGTGAGTACCGCCGAGGTCAAGGAGGAAGGCAGCATAACGGATCAAGACAACGACAATTATTGTTCGCTAAAGAGGATAGAGAAAATCTCGAATTTTTTAGCGATCTAGAAGACTAGAAGAAGCGATGCTGCCGAGACCATAGAACAAAACATCGGCACCAACTATTATCACACATCAGTGAAGATAGTTGGAGGATAAATTTTATGAGAAGGCTATATATATTCGCTAGGATTTTTTTTTTTTTTTTTTTTTTTTTTTTTTGTAGATTTGAAGTTGGCATTAGTTTGGCTTAGTAGCATGTTAATGGTGGCGGTGGGAAAAGATTTGGTGATATGTGGCTGCAGCAATGAATGGCAGGTGTGCTCGGAGAAGACTGCATGGGATGATAACTCTGCATGCAGATGAGATATACATGTATATTAATAGGATTAGGGTTGGGGTTCAGCCTTTGGAATAATGTATATTAATAGGATAGATTTAAACAAAACGAAAGCTTAAAGAAATGTTGTTCCTTAATTTTCAAAACGTCACATATATTGTCCCTCCCCTAATAAGAAGAAAGATGAATATTGTTGTCGGTAGCAAAAGAACAAATAAATAAAGAAATATGGAGGAAAAAGCGTAATTGTCTTCAAATATAAAAAATGACGAATATCCATATTTATACTACTAAAATTTTAGATGAGAAACAATATATATCACATTTAAAAAATTAAGAGACTAATAATTTAGGAATGCTATTGATAATTTACCTGGCCTAAATTACCATTTTACTAACAAACAATAGTCTTGAAATAAGATTGAAATTGAACGTCCCCGCAGTCCCCTGTACAGAAAATGCAATGGACTCAAGCTTGAAAGTGAACTATCCCAACTCCAAACGGCCCTCTAAAGCTCTCATTTTCGACCGCCGCTATGGTTGGGTGTAAGCTTTCTAACCCGCCCCACTTCCTTCTCCCCCCCTGTTTATATATCTATCTTTATGTGTGTACCAGTTAACATTTATCTTTGTTTGAATACATAATTCTTTGCGGTTTTCAGGTTTGATGAGTGGAAAGATCCATCAGAACAGGCCTTAGAGGGTAGCCGTGGAATGTAATTTACTTAATCATTTTAAATTGAATTGGATTTTTATTCTCTTGACTGAATTTTTTTCTGAAAATGTTCCTAGATTTTTCGTTTCTCTTAAACATTGTTTGCTTTGTTTAAGGTTCTGCGTTTTGCCTTTAGCAAAAGCTTTGTTGAAGACGGCTTCACAAACGGTACATAGCTTTCTTTGTCTAATTATTCAGAAAAATGGTTATTTTCCCCTCTAGTTTATTTTATTATTTATTATATATTCCTATGTTGATGTGGATTTTAGGTTCATATACACTGATTTGTGATTATGTTTGATCTCCATGTTCATTTTAATTGTGGAAAGCTATTCTAATAACAAATGTGTGAGTAATAAGTCAGTATAGGAAGGGTTCCTGAGCATTTTGTGCAAATTTGAGGGCTCGGGGTTCTGTATTTGGTGTTAATTCCTTTTACTACCTTCGCCCTCACATGAACTGATTTTATGAACTCATATTACTTCTCTATATTAGTTTTGAGTAATATGCTTACCGTAGAGTATTTGAATTAAACCTACCTCCCACATAGAACCCCAAACATTCTTCACTCATGCAATTTCCCTATATTTTCAGCAGTCATTAAATTCAATTCATTTGGCTTTTGCGAAAGCCTAGCCTGGCAGCGTCTTTTAAAAGACCATACCCTCTATCTGTCATTTGATGTTGCTTCTAATTCCTTTTGTCTCATGCTTTCTCCTAATGTAGTACAAGTAGGGGAAAAAGAGGTAGTCTATAGAGAAGGAAGAACAGGAAGAAAAGAGAGAAAAAGGAGTGAGGAATGGGAGGAGAAGAAGACTAGTGTTGGTGAAAAGCTTCAGTATCTTCAATATTCCTAAACTCTTTGACCAACTAAGGGTGTGTTTGGTTCGAACATGGGAATCGGAATCAAATACTTGGTAATTGGAATGAGTATTGGTGGATGTATTTTGCATGTTTGGTAGTAGGGTGGAATTGGAATGATTACTAATATTGATGTTTGGTTATGTATGACCCTATAATCGGAATAATGGTTTTAAAAATACAAAAACAAAAAATTAAAGCAATTGATCTTAAGAGTAACGATGTAGTGAGTAGGCAATGCATTGAGGAAGGTTGCTTACTTGCCATGTTACATGAACAAAAACAAAAGGCATATTCCTCAATCTCCTTATGACCTCATCAGCCTTCATGAGTGGCTTGCAATTTGGCAGGTCTTTTCTGTAGAACTTAATCTACTTTGAAAACATAGTTTCAGATCAAACTGTTAGGAAATAGACAGGAGATTATGATCCAATTTTAAAGAACTGAAGTGGTGGCTCTTGACAACTTTGGGACATAAATTTGAACTTGCTTGCTTTTCTTGCACAAAGGTTGCTTAAATTTGTTTGGAATGTCTGCATGTCAAACAATGCTTGATTCTTTCTTGTGTTTATTCATCTGAGTTCAGAACAAAGGCCCAGCAAAATGCTTGTAAATAGGTGAACTGGAATAAGTGGGCTCATCCACCTGTGGAAGTTTTTCAGGAACACTTTTATAACTTTGACCCAAAATGGATTCTGAAAGGAAAACTTTGCCTCTTTAATTCTTCCATCCACTTTCTTTCTAAATCTAGGGTATTTTTAATGATTATGGTGCTTGAAAAAACAAGTTTAGCAAGGAACTTTCCCTTTAAAACCCAATACCACATGTTTCTCAAATGGAATTTGCAGCTGAAGCAGTAAAAAGGACCAAGAACGGCAAGAAGTAAATGTACCAGTATGTGTAGTTAAAGAAAAGTTGTGAAAAAACAAAGGATTCCAAGTAAAAACCCCACTGGAAATCAAGAACCAAAAACTCACCAGAGGTATAGAAAAAAAAGACCTTCCTAGTTGTTTTGATCAAAGAAAATACAAACTTGTACTAAATGAAACTAAAATTTTGGATCTATGTTCTGAATGATCACCTGGATCTTTAAAAAAAAAAAAAAAAAAAAGAAGCTCCATAATGGGCTGTTTATGAAAATTTTATGGAAAAAACCCAATTACACCTTACTTAATGGCGTGTGATCAGCATGTGATCATTATACATCCAGGGAGATAAATTTTTTCAACTTTCCTGTAGATGTAGGATGGTAATTTTCCAAATTGATAGTTAGGTGCCAATTATGGAATACCACTATAGTCACTAGGCAGTATAACCAGAATTAGCTCTACAAATGTCCAAATTTAATGTCCTTCTGGCCTTTATTCACACAGTTATATGCTGCTGCCCTTACATACCACCAACTACCTTTTCATGTTTCTGTGTGTTGGAGAGGAGGGGATTATGGGGGCTTCTATGAATTGGCTGGTAACTCTATTTCACTTCCAGCAAAGTTGCCTTCATCTTATTATGGGTTCTCGTGGCTAAGAATATATTTCTCAGTATGGAAATTGATAAAAGAACTATTGCTTCCAAGGACCATAAGGCCTTTATGAATTGCTAGTGGCTCAAACCTTGCACAACCATAGTGTTGTTACAATTATTATTATTATTATTATTGTAGTGGGATATGGGATAGCCACTTTCTTAGGTAGTTACAACCACTTAGGTAGTGGGTAGTGGGTAGTTTTATATTACTATGTATAAATAGCTACATATGTAATTGAAGAAGGGGACTTTGGAAATTCAGAAACTTTTTGGCTTTCTATTAAGGAAAGATTGGGGAGACGAAGCACTCCAGAAACGCTTCATTTGTATTCTTAAGTTCCTAGGCCTGTGACGCGATCCTAATATCCCGGTGCCTATAACATGCACAATTATGGCCGGGAGTCCAGCGCTCATCACAAGTAAAACAGAGACCCTTGGAGCGTCGATGTTGGTACTCAGATCGCGAGAGACGCCGTTCGGTGGGAAAGGGAGAGGACTCGCGTGAACCGCCGGCGGAAGAGGGCGACGACGGAGCCGGCCTAGGGTTCGCGACGTGGAAGCTGTTCGCAGAGGTCGCCGGTGCCGACTGCCCAGGCCGCGCCGGAGTGGACTGCCCAGGACGCAACGAAGTATCACCGGCGAAGGAAGAGAACGCCGGACACGGTCGCGGACGGTGGTCGGGTACGGAGAGCTGGCGGCGAGAGTAAGATCTGGCGAGGTTGATGGCGACATCCAG